GTAACTCGTAAGTCACGATAGGTTGGATATTCCTGCGCGTCATCAGATCAGCAACCTCTCGGGACTTCCCAGTTAGCGATCCTACGTTCAGAGTCCCTATTCGAACTAGCTTCTTTGGCCGAGGCCGTTCACTCCTCGGTAGCCCTCGCATACTGACCACAGAACTCGGGCGGGGGTTCTGCGCGCCACTTCCGGGTGACGTCCTAGCTTTATCACTGATTCTTTTCGACTTTTAGACATGGTTGGTGTGACTGGGGTCTTCATCAGCCGGCCTGTCAACCTGGGCCTGACGCTGGTACTAGAACCATTTTTGCAATTTTTGCAAGGCATGGTTTAACCTCGGCAGGGATCGAACTCGCGGTTTTCAGAGGTGCAGACATGAGTCTAACCTCTTAACCACTCGGCTATCCCTGCCTCGAAGACCGAACATGAAATCTACAAATCTGAGTTCTCGACAGGCGGCTGTAACAAACATTTATTTTGCAGCATTCGATAACAGGGATTAGAGCTTGAGATCTTTTCAAGTCTCCGCTTTCTTCGATTATTTGGGAAGAATTACCGAAACACTCAATAACGAGTAGTAGTATATATCATGTTTGAGTAGTAGTAGAGACACGTGACCGTGATGTTCATATATGATTCCATCCTGTTGTAAGTACCCTCGCATCCGAAACGCGTTCCATTGGGGAGATGGTGTACCTGAACAAACGCATCTATCTGTTACCAACTGTGAATGGGGTACCGAATCTAATCTTGTGGTGGACCAAAATTAGAACCAAAGCTATTATACGAAGACGAACCTGATGACGCACAGTAATGGAAGGAAAAATTTTCATACCGTCTTACTCTCTCATAACCGTGAGCCTGAGAAAGTGGCGAGAGTCAACGTGCAAACGAGAAGTACCCCGCAATTTTGAAACAGTGTTGAATCGCTGGTTCATTGCTCGATGTACATTTGGAAACACTGGGGCATAGTCGGATACCTGGCAAATCGCTCGAACCGCCAGCACACTCTCGAACCGCTTGTGCATCGCTTGTATACCACGATTCTAGCGAGCACGCGGATGTTCAAAATCAAAAGATCATAAGTTCAGGAAGATAGGCTGTATACCGTAACTCTCGACGTGGCACTGGGGCCCGCAATTAGGCCGATGTCATAGTTTGCGAATCGAGCGATTCGCTAGCGAATCGCTGGATCCGAGCGTTGCGCCAGCGAATCGAACGTTGCACCAGCGAATCGAACTTTGCACCAGCGAGTCGAACTATGTACCAGCGACTCAATAGTGGCGGGACCCAACGTTCAAAGGAAGCCCGCCACTTTCAAACAGTGTCCACTGTCAAGTCCCGCCACTTTCAAACAGGGTCCACTGTCACGTGACACTGTTTGAAAGTGGCGGGCTTCCTTTGAACGTTGGGTCCCGCCACTATTGAGTCGCTGGTACCATAGTTCGACTCGCTGGTGCATCGTTCGATTCGCTGGCGCAACGCTCGGATCCAGCGATTCGCTAGCGAATCGAGGATAGCACGCGCAGGAGGTTGGCCTCGCGGATGAGGCGGCACGCGGGGGATGACCTTGCCTGCTCGCGCGCGAAACGCGCGCAGCGTTCGCTTTGCCGTGCAAGCGGCGAAGGCGGACGCTGCGAAGCTGCTCCGTTTTTGGAACGCTGCGCGCCGGCGTAGCGCCGTTTGCAGCGTTGCTTGCGGGAGGACTGCGCCGCGCCCTAGCGCTAATGTGGGTTACGGTATACATCCTATGTTCCTAAACTTATAATCTTGTTTCAAAGTCTGATACTATCCTAGACGGGATACCGCATCATATGCGATGGATAAAACTCAGAACCTAACCGCTGTGTGGTGCTGTGCTTATGAAGTCTCCTATGGAACGAGACCTTCCTAGAAATCAAGGCAGATGTGGTGAGTGGTGAGGGAATGGAGAAAAAATGGGGAACGGTCTGAAGTCCGAGAAAAAGATTCTTTCTCTATCCGTTGATTTGCGCGTCAGGCGACACCCATCGGTGCTGGCCCCTTCAACACCAACTGCTCTCTCTACTACATAGAGTCGGACAAAGACGATGCAGGTTCCGCAGCAAAGGGTCTCGCCCTGCTGGGCGGCTGGGGCCTTACCCTTGGCTGCAAAAGGCCGCCTGCCTTTCCACCAGGCACATGTATTTCCCCTACGACCTTCTATTTACCTTACCATGGAATCCTTTTCAAAAGCCTCAAGATATTAAGAGGAAGAGAATCTCATCCTTGTGTACGAACTTTCAGTTGAACGGTACATACCGTCCGAATTCAGAATTAGAGGGTGCGAGAAACACCACTGAAACTTGGAATTCCAGTATTTGTAATCGAGGATGGAGAGGTTAAAGGCAAAAGCATCGTTTTACTGCCTTATCTAGTTTTCTGAAACCGCCACTCAATCGATACATATCTGGTCCTTTTCGTCCGCTCTGCGACGCATCATCTCAACATTTCGACAGAACACTCTCCGGCAGTCATACTACAACGTCTTGATGACAAGTTTATGTCCTTGGGAAACTTTGACTCACTTTTCCTGTGTGGTTATACAACGCAGTTTTCACAGTTAGGTACACCATGGTTCGTCATCGATTTGAGATGATCCAACCAGAAAATGCTGAACAAAATAGAAAAAATCTGTCATATGTATCTCGAAAATTTCTCAAAAACATCATTACTAACTTTGTCGCATTGAGCTTCAGACCAGCCCAATAAGTTCCTGGTAGCAAGGTTTCTTCCAACGCGAATTCCGCTATTACTGCATCCCATACCTGTATTAGTTCAAATATTGGGAATTAACTGATGAACACTGTCAGCAGCTCTCCACTGCTCACCGGACCCAAATGAAAAACTAACCAGTTTTGGGTTGAACCACCAGTTGTAAAGCTTTAACAATTCTTCGTAATCTTTCAGAGAGTTGAAGTCTAAAAAATCACCCTTTCATGAATTAACACCTGTTCTAGGTGATAACTCAACACGCTCGATATCAACTCAGCAGTGCTCACCCTTCTCGATGTTGGCATCAGCTGTAGGGAGAAGCAGTAGAATGAAAATTGAAAATGAAATGAAAATTCCATGAGCGGAGAGATTCAACCAATTATTGTGTTTGGGACTAAGCCTAAGGTGAAGAGTTTCGTGGAGGGGATGTGAGCAATTTCTGTTCTCCCGAGCGTATTTCCCTTCTCATGAGCTTAGTTCTAGTGTCACCTTCCATTGGCCCTGTTTTGAAAGTTCTCCCCAAGGACAGGAGCGCCGCGATTAGCAATAGAGTTGACAATAAATAACATCTCACTAAATGACTCCATTTTTAGTGCTTCTTATTCATATTTATAATATGATAATAGTGACATTTCTATGAAGTTTCTCTCTTTCATCTCCTTTCGCTGTAATCTTCTCACTGACACCGCTGCATTTCACCGATCTCCGCGAGTGGGAAGTTTCTTTCAAAGCAGAACCTTGTGGATTCTATCCGCGATCTGCACACGTTCTGACGTGTTGAATTCCACTGCAGGAGCCCGCGAAGACTTGCCTCGTCCGGATCGCCGCGCAGCCCGCCGCGCGATTCGCCGCGTGCAACCCCGGACGCACCAAAAGTCCGTGCACCCCCGGACGCACCAAAATGGACGGTTGACCCTTTTGCATGAGCAATTCTCGTTATGTTCTAAAAACTGTTCCAACTTCCTCATTGGATGTCCCAGGGTGAAGCACGCGTTGAGGAATCGTCGACAGGTGGACGGGGGAGGGGTGGAGGGGTTATGTGCCCGCTGGGAGGAAGGGGTCGGGCCGGATCGATGCAGTAGGATCATCAGTGTTGGAGGACAAACATCAAGGATGTGATCGATGCTGTGCAAGCTTGGCCGAAAGATTTCCAATAACAATGTTACTAAGATATAATTTTCGTGCTTCGGAGGGTGTCCATGGTAATTCTTAGCTACTTCAGTGATTTATTACGACAAGGTTAAAGAATCCGAAATTCGCACGTTTTCCAACGGATATTTTATCTTTCAAATGAGTCCACCAATCTGAAGGGATGTGAAGCACACGGCGCATCCCAGAGTGGGCCATTGCGCGCGCTTCAACTACGGCTCTCTGGAGAAGAAAATCTCAATTCAGGAAAAATCAAGAGGATTCTGAAAGGTCCGTGCGAAATTACAGGGAGGAGTACACTATTCAACAAGAAATGCAGCCTTCAGCGTCAAATTCATAAGCATGTAATCGTTAAAGTTGAGAGTCGCTAAACAATTTTACACTTTTGGAGAGAGAAAAGCACGAGGATTCCTGAATCTGCTCCCACTTTTGTATATAATTGCCCCTGAAAGGAGCTGTACAGTGCGGTGCAAAATCATAGGGCATCCCCAAAAAATATGAATATCTCGGCCTCTAGAAAACTTCGTTATCGCAACCTGTAAAATCAGAACCGCCTTTATGAAAAACCTATACTCACAAGTTACCAGATCATCCGATAGTTTTCCGTATTTTTAGACAATTTTTTTGATTTTGGAGCCGTTGCAAAATCATAGGACACCCCTCAGAAGTTCTCCTTGTTGGATTTTTTTATCCAACCAGCAACGATAGTAGCACTTATTTGGTGTATGGCAACTCTACTAGAGTTACGGTTTGAGTTACTCTCCTCTCTCTGCGAGTGAAAACCAGACGTTGCTTTTACACGCGCCTGATGGCTCCTACCACTGACCAACGAAGCCATTTTTGGAAGCTCGAGGAAAACCGTTGCTTGGTACTTAAAGGAATCTTGCGCGGAAAAATCATGATTCTATTTCAGCCATAAATCACTGGCTTGAGACTCATTATCCACGATAATAGTGAAAAGAACTGAAGTATTGCTTTCGTTTTGATTAGAAATTCGAAAACTCGAAAAGGCTGCTACGCGTTCGAATTGCCCACGGACGTCTTTCACGAATGCTGGCGACGGGGATGCTCAAACTTGGTTCTTGGAGTGCATTCACTAGAAGCTCTTTCTGGCCTTCTGCTTCGTTGCATTCACATCTTACACTTCTACTCCATCCTATTCCATCGATCGATTTGTCTCCACTCTCCGAAATCGCGCGCTTTAACCCGATTCTCTCATTGCGTCGCCTGGTACGTAGCCGGCCAAACGCCGTCTTCTTTCCATGCCTCGCCTGGCTCTGCCTCCTGGTCCTTCGATGGTCCATAACGTGTAGTTTTTGTACGTTTGTTTCTCTTCAGAAACCGAATCTTCATGCGTGAAACTTTGTGTGCTATTTCCAGTGATCACAACTGACATATTCATGTTAGGAAAGAGTGCAAGAATTTTCCGCGCAAGATTCCTTTAAGAGACTCTACCACGAATAGAAACAAGAGGGCATCAAAATATACTACAGGACCTCCCCAGAAAGATTGGCGAACAACCTCAACGACTACATCGAACAAAATCACCATGCACACTCATTCTGGGTCAGTTCTACGAGAGAGGGCGAATATAAACCGAACAATCCGATAAATTGACATGTACAACTAACGTAGGGTACCTGCGAGGTGTGCCGCCATTCTCGGTAGGCGCCCTGGCTGGAAACCAGAGAAAAAAAATTCAATTGAAAGACCGGGCCAAGGCTAGGCTCCGTTGAGCAAATTTTCATTTGAGGTTATGAAATTTGGTTCCTTTCAGACCGCTTTTCCTTGGCAGCAAGGAGTTTACATTATGATTCCGTTGTTCACTAGTAGAGTAATATAGGCCATATAGGTGGACGTGTGGAGAGAAGCATACTTTGCGTAGTACTTAGACTTGGTGAACCTTTCGAAAAGGTAAATAAGGAAGGGACTCTGTCAGTCTGTCTCTGTCTCTGTTTTTTGCTTCATTTGTTGGTGGAACTCATTGCTAATGACTTTTCTTCGGATTTTTTTCTCCTTGACGACTTTTACGGTGGAGGCTCGGGTGGCCGGGTTTTTTTTTCATATGAGAGGTTTTTGCGGAGGTTTAACCAACTTTTTCAAACCGTCTTGTGAGGGGAGTAGCTTCAAGGAATTCGGCCGGGGGGGGGGAGTGGAAGGAGGGTCGTATTCTGAAGTTTTCCTTACGCCTCGCTTGATTCTGGTTCCGTATCCAGCGATGCGCCGTAGTTTCTTAAATTTTTGGACATGCATGAGCGTTCTCATCGAAGTAGTAACACTCACCCATTTCGTAGGCATTTGCTAGAAAGAAAAGTAGTAGTGGGAGAATGAAGCAACCCTTTCAATTTCGTCTATGGCTTCTCTTCATCCCTTTAAATGGTAGCTCGAAGTGATGCACTTTAGCTGAACATGGTCAAGCCGCAATCCCACGACGACCTAAACGTTTGTCAGGAAAAGTAGTTTTTTGAGGGAATTGTCCCAACACTGTTTTCAACATTATTGCCTTAGCTCTGTGTATTCTGTGAGAGCTGGAGGCACGGAAATTATACTGAATGAATGCACTATTGAGTTGGGATGTTGTTGAGTGGAATGGCATTCAGCGAAGCGAAGGTCGGGCGTGATCAAAACCAAAGGGTGAATGAGATAAGCCGAAGATGAATTTGGCTGTTTTATGATAAAGAAGCAACGCGATCATCAAATATATCATCAAGAACGGCCAACCTACACAAACAAGTGAATACTAGTCAAATTCCATCTACAAATAGAATTCAGTAAACTCTGAGGGGATTTGAACAGAATCAATTTTTAAATAGGTCCTAGTGATGCAATTTGCCTATACTCTTAATATATACCAGTTTTGCTTCGCCCGCTATCGCGCGCATCACACGGCAGGCTTTAGCGAAATTGGAGGACCCATGGAATATCAGCATGAGATACTCCATTAACCATCTCACTATTGACTGTGTTAGACCCTCCACAGTTTCACTGAAGCTCATCGAAGAATACGCGTGATAACGTCTGAGCTGAACTGGTATATTGATCACAACTGTAAACATCCAGCATTTTTCTTGAATTAAGATAATTTAGCGGTGAATAGGATTGCTGTCAGTCTCAAAATCAAAACGAAATATGCCTATTTACATAAGTGAGGAGCTAAGGCTTATCATTCATTTACATTCACCATTATTTAGAACCCGAAAGGATTAGCGGTTTAATGAGTTTGGGCTTTCTTGATAGGAATGAAAGTTATCATTTGCTGAAGACTTGATTGAGTTCATGCAATAGACTGCTATTAAGTAGGCTGGTCATACAATGATACAGTGTGCACGTACTTCAAATAGAATTCGTAAGTAGGAACGCTCTAGTGTCAACGCTGCGTAACGGAACTAACGACTTTTGCGTTCTGACGCGCCTTATCGGCCCTTATCAATCGTTATCAGTTTCTGGCACCCACCAACAATGTCCCCGTCCCACCCCACATAACACTTGTAAGTATGGTTGCTCTGGTGTCAACGCGAGCCAGGCAACGGAATCGACGACTTCAGCGTTCTGGCGCGCCTTATCGGCCCTTATCAATCGTTATCAGTTTCTGGCACCCACCAACAATGTCCCCGTCCCACCCCACATAACACTTGTAAGTATGGTTGCTCTGGTGTCAACGCGAGCCAGGCAACGGAATCGACGACTTCAGCGTTCTGGCGCGCCTTATCGGCCCTTATCAATCGTTATCAGTTTCTGGCACCCACCAACAATGTCCCCGTCCCACCCCACATAACACTTGTAAGTATGGTTGCTCTGGTGTCAACGCGAGCCAGGCAACGGAATCGACGACTTCAGCGTTCTGGCGCGCCTTATCGGCCCTTATCAATCGTTATCAGTTTCTGGCACCCACCAACAATGTCCCCGTCCCACCCCACATAACACTTGTAAGTATGGTTGCTCTGGTGTCAACGCGAGCCAGGCAACGGAATCGACGACTTCAGCGTTCTGGCGCGCCTTATCGGCCCTTATCAATCGTTATCAGTTTCTGGCACCCACCAACAATGTCCCCGTCCCACCCCACATAACACTTGTAAGTATGGTTGCTCTGGTGTCAACGCGAGCCAGGCAACGGAATCGACGACTTCAGCGTTCTGGCGCGCCTTATCGGCCCTTATCAATCGTTATCAGTTTCTGGCACCCACCAACAATGTCCCCGTCCCACCCCACATAACACTTGTAAGTATGGTTGCTCTGGTGTCAACGCGAGCCAGGCAACGGAATCGACGACTTCAGCGTTCTGGCGCGCCTTATCGGCCCTTATCAATCGTTATCAGTTTCTGGCACCCACCAACAATGTCCCCGTCCCACCCCACATAACACTTGTAAGTATGGTTGCTCTGGTGTCAACGCGAGCCAGGCAACGGAATCGACGACTTCAGCGTTCTGGCGCGCCTTATCGGCCCTTATCAATCGTTATCAGTTTCTGGCACCCACCAACAATGTCCCCGTCCCACCCCACATAACACTTGTAAGTATGGTTGCTCTGGTGTCAACGCGAGCCAGGCAACGGAATCGACGACTTTTGCGTTCTAGCGCATCTTATCAGCCATTATCAGTTGCTATCGCTTCCAATCATGTACCACCAATGTTCCGGGACCGCCCCACATAAGACTTGTAAGTATAGACGCTCTTTACCAATATGAACGGCAAAACGAAATTGGCGATGCTCGCTTTCTAGCCCCTCTTATCAGTCGTTATCAGTTCCTATCACGTACCACTTGTGTCCCCATCCCACCCCCTATAACATATGTAAGAACCACTGCGCTATCGTTACTGTGACTCGAGCTATGAATTTCCGGTCAAACATACACACACACCAACAGACACACGCTAGCCGCTTATATATAGTAGGATAGGATTGGGAAGCGTTGTAGCGAAAAGTTGTACAACATACATATTACCTAGACTGAGGAGAAATGAAATAATTTGTTCTATTGTCCCTTCTGTAGACGTCGTCCAAATTCCTTTGTATGCATCCTGACTCTGTTGACTACAGTAGACCTGGAATTCCGGCAATAAGGTCCAGCTTTATGTTGAGTCTTTGGTCTCCATAATTGATGAAATCGTATGGTGTTTAACCCATCTCCATCAGATTTTTCATGCTTTTCTGTCTATCGAGGCAGTGGTGTTCTTAGAGGGTGCAACTTTCCCAGAGTTCGGATGTCATACGGAGTTTAAAGGCACGAGTCAGGCTTAGTGGACCAAACCAATCCCTTTTGTCGTCTTTGTGCATGGCTACGCACCCACAGAGACGTTACCATGCTCAGAATCCCAAACGGCGCCGTAATAAGGCTCCAGGGCACGTATTAAGCGCTTTCGCCGCCTGGCGGCGCTCCGACCGCCCACCTCCGGAAGTGGTGCGTGGCTGGCATAACGTGTGAAATCAGCTAGGTTGATTGCCGTATCAACCGATAGAACGACTGACATCTCCAGAAAACTTGTTTGTACGTGCCTCTTTCCCAAGCCAGCCTCCTTCACTGCTAGTGGGAAAGAGGGTTTTGTTAACGGCCTTGTCGACGGTTTTTCTCAGTTTTTTCTCCACTGTCGTTCCACTTCGCATCTCTATACTCAGTTTCAATCGCCATAATACCCTTATATTACCCCTTTGAGCCCGACTTTTGCCTTTAATTACCAGATGGCTAAGCTGGTAAAGCGCTACTGAGCTAACCAACTTCTTCTTCTTCTTCTCCCTAGCGTTAGTCCCGCGCAGTCGCAGGGTCCGCTGTCTTTGTCAGTCGTCGCCACTTTAGTCTGTCCAGGGCGTCCTCTGCTGTGGCCATGACTTCACTTAGATCCTTCTTGATCACGTCTCTCCACCTCTTCTTTGGGGCTCCTCGCGGTCGCTTGCCTTGCACTTCGAAGTCCATCGCTGTTCTTATCGGATGATCCTGTGGCCTCCTTAGCACATGCCCATACCATCGCAGACGCTGTTCCCGTACCTTCAGCTGGACAGGGGCAGTCTGCATGACCGCTCTGACATCCTCGTTTCTGACCCTGTCCAGCCGCGTCCAGCCGCAGGCCCATCTCAGCATCCTCATCTCAGCGGAGTGAAGCTGCCTTTCGTGATTCTTGTTCAGGGCCAGCACTCGCTGCCGTATAGCATCGCAGGCCTTACCACTGTCCGGTACACCTTTCCCTTTGAGCGTTCTGGAGCACCTTCGATCGCAGAGGATTCCAGTGGACTCCCTCCATTTCATCCATGCTGCGTTGACCCGAGCCTTCACCGCCTGATCCACACTGCCGTCGGCTGCCAGATCGCTCCCAAGGTAGCGGAAGTCCTCCACTCTTTCGATGGTCTCACCATGGCCGTCCACGATCGGCTCTGCACCCTCTTCGGAGCTCAGGAACTTGGTCTTCTTGACATTCAGCCGTAGCCCGCCTTCTGCCAGGACCTTCTGCCATTGCTGCACCTTGGCCTGTAGTTCCTCTCTACTATCCGCTATCAGGGCGATGTCGTCAGCGTAGAGGATGGTCTTCAGTGGTCCTTCCATGAGGCCCTTCACCATGGTATCGAGCGTTAGGAGGAACAGGAAGGGGCTCAGAGCTGACCCTTGATGCACCCCAACCGTGATGTTTATCTCCTTTGTTAGGCCGTGAGGGGTGCGTATGGCTGCTTTGGCTCCTTCGTACATGTCCTTCACCAGCGAGATCAGGTGTTCTGGCACGTTTCGTTCCCTGAGCGACCTCCATAGCACTGCTCGCGGTAGCCGGTCGAACGCCTTCTCCAGGTCGAGGAAGGCTAGGTAGCAGGGTCGGCGCTTTTCTCGATACTTCTCCATCACTTGCCTTGCGATGAAGATGGCATCCGTTGTAGACCTTTCGGGCATGAACCCGAACTGTTCCTGGGAGATCGGGACCAGCTCCCGCAGCTTCTTATCGACCAGTCGCTCGTACAGCTTCATGGTATGCGCAGTCAACTTGATCCCGCGGTAGTTGGAGCAGTCCATCGCGTCGCCCTTCTGCTTGAAGATGGGGACGATGGTACTTGTCCTCCATGCATCCGGCATCTTTCCTTCCACTGTTACCTTGTTCAGGAAGCTGGTGAGCCACCTTATGCCGTACTCTCCGAGCGCCTTCCATGCCTCGATTGGCACCCCATCTGGGCCAACCGCCTTTCCAACCTTCATCCTCCCAAGTGCACACCTAACCTCATCCTTAGTCCAGAGTGCGATGGGACCAGCTGTGGCCTCTGCCCGTGAGTCGTTCTTGTGGGGGAACTCCTCGTTCAGAAGCCCCGTGAAGTAC